TATTATTGTTATTATTATTATTATTATTATTATTACTAATATCATTTCAAGTCACCCGCCAAATGTCTTTTTATTAATTTCTTTTTTTCACTGATTTAAAAAGTAATCTTTATTGATTTACAAAATCACATTGTGGATACAATGAGGTGATGGAGCGTATTTTTCTTTTTACTAAAAAAAACTAATCGATTGAGCAAAAAATAACTGGATCAAATCAAATGGAAAACTTATATTGTGGAATATAAAGTTGAATAGTTACATTTAATTTCTTTTTAAATACATTCAGATTATAATGGTTATAAGTAAAGATGGATGATGATTGGCAGGGGAATTCAGGATACTCGTTTCATCTTATTTGGAATTTTTCAACTGGATGTACATGTATCATAGAGTTGATGTTCACTCCATCTTTGCTTTTAATGCTTGTGACTTAAGATAATATTGAGGCACTCGGCGTAGGATGCACATATGCTAATAAGAGAGTGATCAATCCCAGTCCTAAACATCAATGGGAAGATTTACGTAAATGAATTTGTAATCGTTGGCTAGTCATACAATTTCAAAGTTTAACTTCTAGTGTGGCATATTTGTCCATTGGACCAAGCTGTTATTGTGTATTAGCAGAACGAAACGATATAAACAACATAGATAGGAAAAGAGTAAGTAGGTAGTTTGGTAGCAGTGTTATTGTGAAAGATTAAGAGTTGAGAATCTGGTTAAAGAGTTAATGTGTCTAAGCCATAGTGAATAATTCTGAGCCCTATCAATTAACAACAATCAGTGATCGTGGTTATTGCATGCCATTTACTCAGGTAGTCTGAATTCATCAGCATGATTTAGACCAACGACTAATAGCTACACGGAATGGTTTCATGTTTAATTTTGGCTGAAGTTGTCCGTAAAACTCTAATTCTTCTACATTTCTCCTCTATCAGCTAACATCGGTCAGAAAGCATTCAATGATTTACATTTGCACCGCTGGGTATCGAGTTACTGGTGAAAAGGTTAAGCGTTAGCGTACTTTGTAAGTTAAATCCATGTTTTGAGGAGCTCATCTACGGAGTGCTCATGAAAGAGTTCGATGTAGAATCCTGGTGAGCGGTATATTATCCTGCACGAGGAGTAACAGGCGTAGGTAAGTAAGTAAACGTATGAACACTGATTGATTGAAAATTAGTTGAAAACCATCGTTTATAATAACAGACATTAACACTGAGTTATGCAGTCTGAGACTGAGCTCCTGTAGGACTGAGATGTATTTACAATTGACTGGTCACTAGGTGGTGATCAATGTCATTTATGTCACGTCCTTCTTAATGTAGATAGAATCCTGATGGTAATTTTTAAATTATAACCGAACATTTAATTAATATCAAAAATTCTAATTCTATATAACATATGATAATTCCAAATCGTGCATGACCAAGAAATTATTTCAATATGAAATGAGATTTATTCGAACTAGATAGAACGGACTAATAATCCACAACACAATTTATGAATAATTTGTGGTAAGAAAAGAGAGAGAGTGAGAGAGAATTCAGAAAGTCAATAAAACGTAATTTAAACAATCGGACAATGCAATGAAGGGTCATTGAACATGTGCCTAGACGGCTTCAAAATTAATGTGTGCCAAATGATCCGATCAATGTAGGAGGTAGAAAACCAAGTTCATCGATAGCGAAACATATAATTGAGACGGGGCACAAAATTGACTTTATTACAGCTTTTAGAACGTTGTATAGAAATTGTCAAGGACGAATTCTCAAGTTTATTGAAGCCTTGGCTATTCGTAAATTTAAACCTCCTTATGTGTACAAAAACAATTTGTCGTAACCTGAATTTACCTTGGTAATCCTTAAGTCATTCTATGGCCTAGGATAACACAACAATTTCTTATTCTTTCTCTCCCCTTTGTTACCTTTTTACTTAAACTTTCATTTAATTGACCTTTTCATATAAAAATGCCTTGACAAGTATATGTGTGACCAGATTGTTCTAAATGTATAGCGCAAATACATCACATTTTTCTGATCAACTCCGTCTTCTCATTGTTCTACTGAAATAAATAACTTCAGTTTAACCGTAACAATTATAACCTTGAAACGTAAATAAACAACAATAAACTAAGTGAAAAGCTGTGGCCAGTGGAGTTCAGACAGGTCTGTTGTGAATATCAGCTCACTGAGGACAATGGTGTACGGTGGCGCAATTTCGTGGATTGTTTGAGGTTGGACAGTAACACGGTTGGGTGCCGACTCAGTGGTCTAGTAGTTTGAGCGAGAGATTGGTAGGCCATGGGTCCGGGTCTCGCGATCCGAGATCGTGAATGCACACTGCTGAGGAGTCACATACTATGACTAGACGACCATACAGTGCTTCCAGGTTTGCCATGATGGTCTAGCTTCAAATGAATCATAATCCCAACCATTGAAATTACTATGATATCCACAAAATTAACAACAACAAAATAGAGAGTAAAAGTAAACATTAAAGTTGAAACAATCATAATCGAAAATGTGACTAGAAGATTTCTGTGCAATATTCAAATATCACATACATCAAGCAGTTGGAATACCTAATATACATATAAAAATGCTGAAAAATATCAATTCCTTTGATATTGTTTGCTTGTACCTTTTCATTGATGTTTATGACGGAAATCGATCAATCTCTTGTTAGCATATGTACATCCTGTGCGGACTGACTCGATATTGTCTTAAATACCGGAGTAAACATCAACTCTAGGATGCAGGTACATCCAGTTGACAGTCCCAAATAGAACGAAACACATTCCTACATTCCACTTCTAGCCGCTATCCATCTTTCTTACTGAGAAAATATATGTTTTTGTTACCATAGCGTGAAAATGATAGTGGTAAACGTAACATGTGCTTAATTCTGTCTCTTTAAATTATTTATAAAATGTGAATCGACACCATCTCTAAATCATAACCTTGAACTTGAAACCAACTTTAAACCGGAGAAACTATATTTCATGAACGAAATAGTCAGATATCCTCACTTGTATTCCCTAGTATAATTCATGCATTCATGTAACTGAAACGCTCATTTTTGCATTACAGCTGATGTCAGTACGTTGTAAGAATCTTAACCCTAATTCTTTAATCCTAGCCCTCATTACTTAACTCTAGCTAAGAATAATCGAGGAACTCTTTAAAAACTGTGTTTGGTCCTTGAAAAATTCCAGAAATGAACAATCTACCTTCATATAGATGAATCAATATGTCATTGTCATTGTTTTTTGTATTTATAGCAAGAATAACCTGAAGAACACATGAATAGATTCAGTAATTGCATAGAAACAACTGGCTTACATTTTGCAATATTATTGTTTCCATTTCTGTAAACTATCCATTTTTAAAAGCTTTCTTCTCATTGACTCAAATAACTGCTTGAAACTTTGTCAAGCGTTTTCAATCTTGTCTTTAAAGAATACTTTTACAGAATAAAAGTTACTATCAGCTTTGTTGGACATTACAATTACCATCTACTAACAAAAATAAAGAAAGTAGTCAGTCTAAATCTTTCCCGTCGATATTTTATTCTTGTAGTTATTGTTTCTGTCTTTCTTCGTAATATGTTCCGTAATGTTCAATGAAAATTAACAGTGGGATTAGGAAGGTGCGTTTTCTCTGCTGTTTGCCACTCTTCAGCTACATGTGCCTGCAATCCAGTGTCGATGTTGACGCTATGAATCGAACCCAATATGTTTTGTTTCAATCGTTCAGTTCATTGTCCAACAATCTACTAAGTCCTCATAACAACTGACTTAAGACTAATCAACTGTAATCCTCAAAATGTGGCAACAATAAAGCACAAACACTTGCAGATTTTCTCGTAAGTTTCTTTTACTTCAAAGTCTTGAATCCATTAGAAAATAGTTGTCGATTATTTTATCATATATATCCAGTGTAAATAAAATATCTCAATCATACTAGTCACTAAGTGATATTAACTAGATTATCATTGAAAATCTGGTTTCACACTTCTGAGGAGTTGCATACTAAAACGAAACAGCCATCCAGTACTTCCAGGTTCTCCAGGGTGATCTAGTTTAATTCGACTCATGAATTCAACAATTAAATTACTACAACTTCCACAAACCCTTATTCTCACAATAATACGAGGAAAAACACATTCTATAATGAATCAAACTCCCACAATTTACTTACTACACACATGTAATTTCATATTTGCCAACATTTCAATAAAGTCAAAATAAACATGAGTGGTTTGATGGGATTGTTTTCAATATGTAATCGCTGCTATGGACAGACATCAGCCAAATAACCATTGAATACTAGAAAAAATTGAGTATCTTTTTCGTTCCAATACACAACACTGCAGTATTGTTCATCTATAAACTCAAGTCAGTAATCAAAACAAAACAATAATAATATCTCTTAATCAGTGAGTTGAATTGAAATCGTTGAAATGGTTTTCATCAGGTCATATTCGTAATTTTTTCAATAAAATGAAGAGTATAGTAAATATGTTGAGATAACACAGAATAAACGAAATGTGGCTATTAGTAGAATTCAGGATGCACAATTCCTACTATTCAGGACTCATCGGCTAGATATGACTGAGTTTATTCTATACTAATTTGTGTCATTAGGGCTATATCAATACAGTCTGCATATGATAAGCATATGTCGACGAAAACTGACCAAATTTCAGTGAAATATCTCAACAACAGGATAATCCAAATCATTAAAAAATTCAATTACTACTGAAATATCTTTGCGAAAATGTCATCATATGTTGGAAAATAAGAATTTACTCAGCCAATAAATGTTACGAAAATGTGAAGTATATAAAGTTCACAGAATGGGGTTTTGTTGATATCATAGTAATTTTTAATAATTGAATTCATGAGTCGATTAAAGCTAGACCACCACGGAAAACCTAGAAGCCCTAGACAGACGTTTTGTCTTAGTATGGGACTCTCCAGCACCATCCGCACCAGACCCAGGACTTTCGGTCGCGCGAGTGAACGTTTAACTTGTAGACCACTGAGCCGTCATCTACGATATTGCACGACCGTCCATCATTGTCTTCAGTGTGTAACTGCCTTTACAACATTCGCGGTTGGACACCAGGGGCCATAGTTTCTCACTAGAACTCCAGGGAATACCTTATAATGCCAGTCATAAGTAAGCACATGATGATTATTGTCATCATATTGAATAAAATATTCTCTGTTTACTATTAATATGATTATTGTAACTTACTATCTTGGAATAAAAGTATATTTTCAGTTTGAATTCAGTTTCATAGGTAAACAAACTACCGATTACAATAATTTAGATCCTTGTAAACATAATTCTGAGAAAATATTACTATAAACTTCATTCATTATTTCAAGGAAAATTATAACCTTTGTTAAAATAAACACTGAGAAATTAATAGATTTTGTTTACTTGGAATGTTATTTTATTAACGAATCTATCTAGCAATTAACCTTGAAAAGGTCATATAATTCAAATTTGCAAATTCATTATATTGCAATGTAAGTATTAACCAATGAATTATATTTGTAGGACCAGTGAAATCCCACTGAGCTCCAGCCAAATTATCATGCAATTAGGTCACTGAATATCAAACAGTTCATCGATCCCCGTCAATGCGAAAGACAACCAACATGCATCAGTTAATCGTCTGCCATGAAGTGGCCCATGTGGTGATGGTCTCACTTTCGTTTGTACTTATATCTACTAATTTATTTCCGTAATAACGTCTTTTGTGTTATACGGTCTTCAAAGTATCCGTGGTACCTTGATTTGTCGAACGGTTAATTCACGTTAGGTGCTGACCGCTAGGCGTGATTTCGAAGTTAGTTTTGATTAAAATATTCCCGTCTAACTCGAGTAGGCCTCTATTCATTCGACAACTGGGAAATACATTAAAAGGAACTAGACAATTATAACAAATTAATTAAATGTTTTTACAGTAAAGTAAATGATTAGGAAAATCTTAATAATTTTACTTACGTATGATAAACCATCATTGTTTGTTTGAAATTGATTTAATACCAGTCACCAAGTCTAAATTACGTAGTTGAACTTTGTGCTATTTGCGATGTTTAGAGATAAGAATTAGATTTAGGGATAATGGTGAAGATCTATTCACTTATTTTGCTTTTTATTTGGTACTGAATTATAGAATCATTTTCTTCTCAAAAATGTGAAAGTGTGATTTATTCATTTAGTTAGATTTATCAATTAATTAGATACATAATTAATTGATTATTTACGTCTGTTACCCTTCATGGAGAAGCATAGGCCGCGCGCTAACATTCTCTATCGAACTCTGTCCTGGACAATCCTTTCCAGTTGCCATCCAACTTTTTCATGTTAACTTCCGATTCTCGGTGTATTGTGTCCTTTGGTCTTCCTCTTTTTCGTTTCCCTTCAGGATTTTAGGTAAGCGCCTGCCTCGTGATGCAGTTTGGTGGTTTCAGTTATGTATTTCATATCCATTTCCATCGTCTTTTCCTAATTTCCTCCTCAGCTGGAAGTTGGTTTGTTCTCTTCCATAATAGGCTGTTGCTGATGTTATCCGGCCAATGGATGTTGAGTATCTTGCGTAGACAACTATTTATAAATACTTGTACCTTCTTGATGATGGTTGTTTTACTTTCCAAGTTTCAGCTCAGTATAGTAGAACTATCTTGACGTTCACATTGAAGATACATGTATTGGATTATTGATTTATGAATGTTAAATGGTTGGAGGCAGTCAACAGTAAACCTTGGATGAGGAGTTTCGATCTATTTGCACATATCCTCAAGGTGTACCTGTAATATTGAGGTGACTGATAGTCTCTGACGGATTCAATCTCGTGTCATCCTGTTTCAAAATGCGAGATTTGACTACTGAGCTAATCAGCTCTCTATTGACCTGCTGTATGAAAGAGATGTATCTAGAATTGATTTTTTATTGTGTAGTGACTAGTATCATGTTTATTAATCGGTGTCAGTTATCGCCAGTTCGATTCACTCAAATTGACCTATTAACTGAATAATGAAATGGCAAATTTTTCATTCTAATTTTAATGTTATTTTGAACAGCTTAGGATTTGTGATCAGTGCATAAACAAATTTTCATCTGTAGTCTTACTTCCCTGGATCGACCCATATCAGTCGGGTTCCGCTGTAACAAGCATTAACTAGTAGTTCTTCTTCAATTAAAACAACATGTCAATATCAGTAGTAGTATCAACATTCTGTTAAGATACAACAGTCTTCCTAGCTTTCTTTTCTAGTCATATTCTGCACGCTTGGTTAGTTTTGCCATCATCGACACTACTAGTACTACTACTACCATTGTGGTGTATGCTACTCATGTTGACAGAAGTAAGTATTATGTAGCACCGATCGGAAGTAAAATGCCTGTGGGTAGAAGATTGAGAAAAGCGAGATGAAGAGAAGAGAGAAGAAAACTGATAGCAATCAGGCTAACAACAGGAATGAAGGACTAATGAAGTTTGTAAGAAACCATTCAAAAATGATGTGTAAATGATATATTTAGTGTATGATTTTCACATTTTACTAAACCATTGTGTGATTTTTGACTGAACAGTAAATTAGTCTTCTCTATCTGCGTTCTTCCTTCACTACATTACTATAAATACTAATATTACTATTTCTACCATAAATTTGGTATTCAGTTTGATAACATCATCTTAAGGTATTGAATTAGTGTGTTATTATGGTTTAGTGCACATAGATCTTAAATCCTATTTTATTCATCACTGATTGAAAATAAAACTTAGCGCCATAGAAAAATATAAGAAAGTGACTTGCGTATAGTATTCGAGTAAAGAGGTAATGCTATAAATAATACAATTTTGTTTATTTAAAAAGGTCTAAAGACTTTTAAGTTCAACAGACTGAAATCAAATGCTACAAAAAGTTTCAAATAAGTGATGACTATCAGAATTAGTTTACATTTAATAAAGACATTGTACCAATCCAATCACAATTGACGGAGAAGATTTGGAAGATGTAAAAACCTTTACATATTTGGGCAGCATCATTTATGAACATGGTGAATCTGATGCAGATGTGAAGGCGCGGATCGGTAAAGCAAGAACAGCATATTTACAAATGAAGGACATCTGGAACTCAAAGCAACTGTCAACCAACACCAAGATCAGAATTTTCTATGTAAATGTCAAGACAGTTCTATTGTATGGAGCGTAAACTTGGAGAACTACGAATGCCATCATCCAGAAAATACAGGTGTTTATTAACAGTTGTCTACGCAAAATACTTCGGATCCGTTGGCCGGACACTATTAGCAACAAGTTACTGTGGGAGGGAACAAACCAGATCCCAACGGAGGAAGAAATGAGGAAGAGTAGCTGGAAGTGGATAGAATACACATTGAGGAAAGCACACGACAGCGTCACAAGGCAAACCTTCACATGAAATCCTCAAGGCAAAAGGAGGAGAGGCAGACTAAAGAACACATTACAATGAGAAATAGAGACAGACATGAGAAGACTGAACAAAATTTGGACAGAACTGGAAATGATTTTGCAGGACAGATTGGGTTGGAGAATGGTGGTCGGCGGCCTATTCTCCATTGGGAGTAACAGGCTTAAATAAGTAGGTAAGTAAGTAATGAAGAGATTCGATGAAATTAATAGTTTATACATCTTCCAGTATATAATGAAATGATTCACTGTTATATCAAAATAGATTTGAGAAAATTTAAACGACTTATTATTACTTACTATTTTTATGATAAAATTATTAAATAAATGGATCATTGTATGTTTTATATTCCTCTAATTGTGAGCTACTATTTAAATCATTATTTGTTGTCATAGATCTTGTTTTGTTCTGTGTCATTTATGATGTAATCGTATATACTCTGTAATAACCTATTTTTTGTTACTGTATAATGAATCCATAGTGAGTACATATTATTATACAAATTCTAAGATTTATTATATAACTGTTAGTTGACAACAATAAACGATAATTCTGTTTGTTATACTCAACTTTCAACTTATTATCAGTCTAATAGGAAATTGTGTTCTGAATCCATAACAATAAAGATATTATTCTAAGTTACTTATTATCAATCAAATTATATCATTGATTAACGCAGAATTCATTGGTTTAATAGGATAATAATGAAGAAGTACTTTATATTAATGGATAGTATTATTAAATGGTCAGATTACTCAAACCTTTACCCTTCAATAATTATATACAGATACATAGAATTTTCTTGACTTCATCACAGTTACATCTTACAATATATTTCATTTTCAATAGTTGAGATCATGAGTTCATTGAAGTTATATCATCATGGAAAGTCTGAAAGTATTGGACGGCCATTTTCCATGATGGTCTAACTTCAACAGACTCATGATCTCAACTATTTAAATTAATCTAATATCCAAAAAACAAACCCTTTCTTCTGAAATTTCATTTTGTTTAACACATAATTCATCTACATTACAACACTTAACTCCGCCTGTAGCTCTTCCAGAGTTACTGCCGGTCCCAAGCCCGGGTAAAGGAAAAGGGTTGGGCATGGGGTTAGCGTCCCCATCCCGTAGAAAACTAACTCGCTAAAGAAACGCTTACCAGAAAAAAAAATTCAAACCATTTAAACTCTGCCCTGAGAGTTAGAAGGTCTTCGCTTAGAAGAATTATGACGCTTCATGGTGAAAGCCGAGTTCCTTCGTAAGCCACGAAGCCGATGCCTCTTCTAACAACCAGAGCAAAACTTTTTATGGGTACATGGAACGTCCGAACACTGTGGAAGACCGGGAAGACCAGTCAAATAGCAACAGGAATGAGGAGATACAACTTGGCAGTACTGGTAATCAGCGAAACCCTATGGACTCAAGCTAGACAACAAAGGCTAAATACGGGAGAGATGCTACTATACTCCGGTCATGAAGAAGAAAATGCTCCACACACTCAGGGAGTTGCTCTAATATTGTCCAAAGTAGCACGAAATGCACTTGTAGGATGGGAATCTCACGGATCCAGAATCATCAAAACATGATTTAAAACAAAGAAGGAGGGGATCACAATGAATATATTCCTTCACGAGGAGTAAGTAATTACAACACTTCATTATTAAGTCAATTTAATACATTTCGTACATTTCGTATTTACAGTAAAATAAGGAAAAAGAAATCTTTATTTCTCTAATGTTCTGTACACAAGTTACAAAATAGTAATAGTATGGATTAATAATAATAATAATAATCTCAATTGTTAGAATCTTACTATTCTGATCCATATACAATAATAATAATGAGAATAATACTATTTAATATCTTTATTAAAATCTTGTCTTTTTCGATAATCTATAATTTTAGGTTGTAATGAATATGAAGATTGTTGAATATGTTGTTCCACAGAAGAAGAATCTATTTGATTATTATCTATTCTACTTTGAATAGTATGTTTAGTTTCATTTGATTCAATATTTACTTGTTGTATTGGTTGAGATTGTTCTAATTTTATTGATTGTTTTTGTTGATCTATATGATCTAATTTAGTTGTATATTTAAGATGATCAATATTCATTTCAATATTATTATTATTATTGTCATTTAATGTGAATTGATGTTTGATAGCTCCTATACGATATTGTAATAGATCATTAAATGCTTCATTCAAATCTAATTGACATTTATGTTTCGATGTTGATGCATATAAATCATGATGATTATTATGACGTGATAAATGATCACTTAATATATCATTAGCATTTATTGAAACTTTTCTATATTGTTTTTTATTGATATTCATTTTTATCATTTGTTCAGCTGATATAAAAGAACTTTCACCAAATGTACCACCATCATCATCATCATCATTATCATTATCATTGTTATTATTGTTATTATTGTTAATATCATTAAGATTACCATCATAATCATCATCAATTGGTATGATTGATAAATGATTATGTAATATCCAATCATGTGTTGTACCATGATTCAATAAATTTGATAGATTATTTCTAGAATATTGATTAAATTGATTAAATTTTAATGATTCTGGTATATTTTTAATAAATTTTCAATATCATTAGGACGTGTTGATGCATATAATAATTTTAATGCAATTAATTCATATACTTTTAAAATTTTTCATCATAATGTTCTGGATTCCGTTGTAATATACGTCGTATATATTTTTCATCAATTTTAATAAAAAATTCTCTTATAGCATTACGTCCTTTTGAACCGATCAATGTTTCAATACCAGTTAATGTTTGATCAATAATATTTTTATTTAATATATAAAATAAACTTAATTTTTCTTGATCTTTTTTACGTATTTTTAATAATTTCACTAATGGTTTAGTTGTTAAACCCATAAAACCAACTGTAAATAAAATAATAAATAATGTTGTTGTTACTATGACATTTTTATGATATAAACTATTGATAGGAAATAAATCATCTGGGATAAGTACTGATAAAGCAAATGCTACAGCACCACGTAAACCACCATAAATTAATATAATTTGTTGTTCAATTGTAATTTTTGTTTCATCAATATTAACATAATTTACAATTGCTGTAATAATAAATACAATAATAGTTCTGGATAATAAACATAATATAAGTGACCATAATATAAAACCAGTATGCCATTCTAATTTATAAGATATTACTTGTATACCTAAAAATAAAAAGATAACACCTTCACTAACTTCAGCTAACATTCTTGTAATTAATAATAAACTTTTAACATATTTTTCACCAATATTATGAAATGCATATGCTGCTTGTATTAAACCACAACCAATCATTGAGATAATCCCAGACCAACCAATACAATCAGCTATAATATATGAAAAATAAGCTAATAATAATATTGTAAATACAGATAAATGACTATGTATTCTTGTAATTAAACATGTCATGATACCAAATATAACACCAATGAATAAACCACCAAAACTAACTGTAAAAAACGATATAAACCCAATAAATATTTGTAATGTTGTTAATTGTTCATTACTATTAAATACAATCATAATATCATTTAATACAATTGTAATAGCATCATTAAATAATGATTCACCAAATACAATATAATATAAACTTAATTCAACGCCAATATCTTGAAAGATAGCTAAGACAGCAACAGGATCAACAGCAACAATTAATGAACTAAATAATAAATAACCTTTAATATTTAATTGTAATATAGGTTCACCTAATAAATTTAATTGATAGATTATATATAATGAGAAACCAATAAATAAAAAATTACATATTGTACCTATCACTGAAAATATTAATACAACACCAAGATATTCAGAAAATGTACGATTATATAAACCATAGGCTGATTCTAATATAATTGGTGGTAATAAATAATAAGCAAATAATTCCGGTGTAAATTTCCATACAGTATTCTCTATTGATATAGATGTATGATGATTAGGATTATGATGATCAGTTGTATATTTTTCCATTGTATAGAATACAATACTACCAAATGTAATCCCAATTAATATTAATAATAAAGATTCTGGAACATAAATTGATATATATGGTATATAATGATAAGCTAATTTTAAACAAACTAATAAAATTAAAAATAACATAACAGTAATATGAGTAGAGAATTCATGAAATTCCCATTTAATAATTGTGATTTCTTTAGGATGAATATTAGTTGAATTCGATTTAGCATCAATAAATTGTTGCATAATTATAGATATAATAAAGAATTGATTACATAATAGATTTTTAAAAAATTGATCATATTCAAATGGTAATAATATCATTTTGTCATTAGGGATATAAGTAGTATAATCAGTAGTAATGTTGCTTCTTTAATAGAAAATAGGATAATATGTATATATATATATAATGTGAATCCTTTCTTTTTTTTATATTATATTATATTCATGTATATGATGTTAATGATTAATGTATAAAAAGAATGAATATTAAATCTCTGTGTTTTTATAGTCAGGGTTAATCAGAGACACTCATTCACTCAGTTACTCAGTCACTCGCGCGCACACACACACACACGCAACGAAACATACAAATAAAGAAACAAACATCATTAGTAGTATAATATTATTTATTTTATAAAGAATTATTGATATGATTGATATCCTAAATAGAGAAAAACAGATATTATTATTATTATTATTATCATTATTATTATTAGGTATTATTAATTATTTGTATCCGTGTGTGTTTGTGTGTGTATGTATTGGAATGAAAGAAAAAAGAAACTGATAGAGATATCCATTAACACTATCATTCTCATGATAAAAGTGGCTTCAATATTTTCAATATAGAAACAAAAAATATATATATATCAATAACTTCCAATCAGAATTTACGGAATTTATGGAAGATCAATAGAAAAAAGAAACTTTATTCCACGACATCATTAAAGTAGTATGTATGTATCTATCTTTGTATATATATCTATCTATGTATGTATTTATGTATATGTGTGTATGTAAATGTGTGTATATGGGTAAGCTTGTATCTATGCATTTAGTTGTTTATTCATAATATATTAAAAGAAATGTAATGAAAATTTACTTCTCGTATTACTATTGGACAATTAGTATTTCGGTAAATATTTATTTATCAAGGTTTATTTAGGAAATTTTATTGATCTATTCAGGAAATATGTATATGTCAAGGTCATATTATGAATCTTGTAAATAAATCTGAATAAATAAATGAATTTGTAAATAGAAGAATGAATACAAGACTACAAATGAATTATTTGGTTATATGACGGATGTTAATTGTTTCAATAGGGATCCACAAAAGAATATTTTATTTAATAAGATCTAAGAATACAATTATATAAAGTTGATATAGAATAGATACAATGGGGCTGAAAGAGGAATCGAGAATGTGAATATATTGGATCCGAGTTGTTGTTCATACTAGGATTTCAGCACAGTGCTGTTCGCTTGAAATCTCATTATCCAATGCTATGAGTTACTTATTCTAGATAACTACTCACTGGTGCAACGTATACAAGGGTTAGTTTAAATTCAAATGTTTCGAATTATAATATTGTCAAGATTTTTCACAGAAATTTGGTCAGTTTTCGTCGGCATATGCTTATCATATGCAGACTGTATTGATATAGCCCTAATGACACAAATTAGTATAGAATAAACTCAGTCATATCTAGCCGATGAGTCCTGAATAGTAGGAATTGTGCATCCTGAATTCTACTAATAGCCACATTTCGTTTATTCTGTGTTATCTCAACATATTTACTATACTCTTCATTTTATTGAAAAAATTACGAATATGACCTGATGAAAACCATTTCAACGATTTCAATTCAACTCACTGATTAAGAGATATTATTATTGTTTTGTTTTGATTACTGACTTGAGTTTATAGATGAACAATACTGCAGTGTTGTGTATTGGAACGAAAAAGATACTCAATTTTTTCTAGTATTCAATGGTTATTTGGCTGATGTCTGTCCATAGTAGGAATTACAATTGAAAACAATCCCACCAAACCACTCATGTTTATTTTGAATTTATTGAAATGTTGGCAAATATGAAATTACATGTGTGTAGTAAGTAAATTGTGGGAGTTTGATTCATTATAGAATGTGTTTTTCCTCGTATTATTGTGAGAATAAGGGTTTGTGGAAGTTGTAGTAATTTAATTGTTGAATTCATGAGTCGAATTAAACTAGATCACCCTGGAGAACCTGGAAGTACTGGATGGCTGTTTCGTTTTAGTATGCAACTCCTCAAAAGTGTGCATCCAGATTTTTAATAGCTATCTAATCGATATCACTTAGTGACTAGTATGATTGAGATATTTTATTTACACTGGATATATATGATAAAATAATCGACAACTATTTTCTAATGGATTCAAGACTTTGAAGTAAAAGAAACTTACGAGAAAATCTGCAAGTGTTTGTGCTTTATTGTTGACACATTTTGAGGATTACAGTTGATTAGTCTTAAGTCAGTTGTTATGAGGACTTAGTAGATTGTTGGACAATGAACTGAACGATTGAAACAAAACATATTGGGTTCGAGTCTAAGCGTCAACATCGACACTGGATTGCAGGCACATGTAGCTGAAGAGTGGCAAACAGAAGAGAAAACGCACCTTCCTAATCCCACTGTTAATTTTCATTGAACATTACGGAACATATTACGAAGAAAGACAGAAACAATAACTACAAGAATAAAATATCGACGGGAAAGATTTAGACTGACTACTTTCTTTATTTTTGTTAGTAGATGGTAATTGTAATGTCCAACAAAGCTAATAGTAACTTTTATTCTATAAAATTGTTCTTTAAAGACAAGATTGAAAACGCTTGACAAAGTTTCAAGCAGTTATTTGAGTCAATGAGAAGAAAGCTTTTAAAAATGGATAGTTTACAGAAATGGAAACAATAATATTGCAAAATGTAAGCCAGTTGTTTCTATGCAATTACTGAATCTATTCATGTGTTCTTCAGGTTATTCTTGCTATAAATACAAAAAACAATGACAATGACATATTGATTCATCTATATGAAGGTAGATTGTTCATTTCTGGAATTTTTCAAGGACCAAACACAGTTTTTTAAAGAGTTCACCGATTATTCTTAGCTAGAGTTAAGTAATGAGGGCTAGGATTAAAGAATTAGGGTTAAGATTCTTACAACGTACTGACATCAGCTGTAATGCAAAAATGAGCTTTTCAGTTACATGAATGCATGAATTATACTAGGGAATACAAGTGAGGATATCTGACTATTTCGTTCATGAAATATAGTTTCTCCGGTTTAAAGTTGGTTTCAAGTTCAAGGTTATGATTTAGAGATGGTGTCGATTCACATTTTATAAATAATTTAAAGAGACAGAATTAAGCACATGTTACGTTTACCACTATCATTTTCACATTATGGTAACAAAAACATATATTTTCTCAGTAAGAAAGATGGATAGCGGCTAGAAGTGGAATGTAGGAGATGTGTTTCGTCATATTTGGGACTCCTCAGTTGGATATATACCTGCATCCTAGAGTTGATGTTTACTCCGTTATTTAAAGCAATATCGAGTCAGTCATCACAGGATGCACATATGCTAACAAGAGATTGATCAATTTCCGTCATAAATATCAATGAAAAGGTACAAGCAAGCAATATCAAAGGAATTCATATTTTTCGCTAATATTTTTCAGCATTTTGATGGGCAAATTAGGTATTCCAACTGCTTGACGTACATGATATTTGAATATCGCACAGAAATCTTCAAGTCACATTTTCGATTATGATTGTTTCAACTTTAATGTTTACTTTTACTCTCTATTTTGTTGTTGTTAATCTTTGTGGATATTACAGTAATTTCAATGGTAGGGATCACGAGCCAGTTGAAGCTAGACCACCATGGACGGCCGTTTCGTTTTGTTGTTGGACTCTTCAGCAGTGCGAATCCACCATCCCGTCCCGTGGTGTTCAAACTGAAACCTATCGGTCTCGTGCGCGTATGCTTCACCACTAGACCACTGAGCCAGCATCTAGCGGTGTTAATGTCTAACTTCAACCAATCCACAAGATTTAGCGACACATCCACCATTACCTTCTGTGAGTTACTATCTCACAACAGACCCGATTGAAATCTGCTGGTCACTGCTTCTCACTTAGTTTATTGTTGTTTATTTACGTTTCAAGGTTGTAATCGTTACGGTAAAACTGAAGTTATTTTAATTACAATGTTTTCTTGACTTTCTGAATTCTCTCTCTGAACTCTCTCGCTCTTTTTTCTTACCACAAATTATTCATAAATTGTGTTGTGGATTATTAGTCCGTTCTATCTAGTTCGAATAAATCTCATTTCATATTGAAATAATTTCTTGGTCATGCACGATTTGGAATTATCATATGTTGTATAGAATTAGAATTTTTGATATTAATTAAATGTTTGGTTATAATTTAAAAATTACCATCAGGATTCTATCTACATTAAGAAGGACGTGACATAAATGACATTGATCACCACCTAATGATCAATCAATTGTAAATACATCTCGGTCCTACAGGAGCTCAGTCTCAGACTGTATAGCTCAGTGTTAATGTCTGTGACTGTGCAGCTGGGTTATACGGGATCGAACTAGTCAGGGAGCATCAGTTCCCTGAATATTACATGTACACCTTACTGGCGATTGCCCAGTAACACGAAACCTATGTCCAGGGTTCTCTGTTGATTATTTCCAACCATCATCTTATTATTATCAGTATTTATTCATGACTGTTAGGTTTTAAATTTAAATGTATCATATCTTTCACAATAACTGTATTGTATCTCATATAGAATTGTGAATATACACTATTGATAGGTCGAGAACTAGGTTTCTCAACCCTTTTTTGACTGTCACTTTGTGCTGAAACATTGCTTTCATAAAATATCAAACACGTCCATAAGATGATATTATTTATTGAAAATAATTCATAAATAAGAGACCCCTTCTTTGTAAGAAAAACGATTGTCCAGTGTTTCATGTTTTTCAATGGTTATCTAATATCGATCGGCAGTGTAATGTGTAGAATTCAGCAAGGTCCTCAAACCAGTACACTAATTATATTCTCTATGTTTGGTTAATCTACAACGTTTATTTCTGATTCTTTGACCTTAATTATCTTTTCTTGATATGATATGTCTTGTGGTATCTTTCATTAACACATATTTTTAAAACTTCTCACATACTTAACACACATGATAATAAATACCATACAGAAAAAATATTTACACATATTAGATGTTTTGTTCGTTCTAAATCTAATCAATTTAGTTGAGATTACGCTTCTAAAGCTAAGTACGTTCGTAAGTTGAGTAAACATTTACGAAGATAGATAATCGACTCGAATCTCAGTGTGCACCTCCTCGCTACAGTGTAGGTGCTTTCAACTGATGAGTCCTAAACACAATGGATTTTATTTATTTTGATCCACTGACGAGACAGTGGCAACATTAGGAATCCTGGAGATAGTTGGACTTCATTAAGATCAAGAACCAATCTAAGTTATACAATCGTTAAAAACTTGAGAGCACTGGCATAGGTCTCTTGAGCAGGGTGTGTTCGCGATCCAGAAATAAGAAT